CATCTCGAGCACGATCTGCTTCTTCTCGTGCTGCACCGAGTGGGCGGCGGCCTTGATCGTGTCCGACTCGAGCGCCTGCGGCGTCGGGCTCGGGCTCTTGACCTCCGGGTCGCTTCCAGCCGCAACGAGAAGCGCGGTCCGGCCGTCCTCGTCGGCCTTCTCGACGTCGGCCGTCTCGGAGGATGCGAGCAGCTGCGCGAGGCCGTCGAGGTCGCCGGTCCGGCAGGACTCGTGCAAGGACGCGTTGTTGCCCATCTTCCCGTGGTCGGAAATCTTCGAAAATGCCACGTCGGGGCGCGACGGACAGCATATTAATATTCCGTTTTCCATTGGTTTATATCTTGACATTGTATGGAAACGTGTCGGATCGCGCTTTATTATTATGCCACCTGCTGGAAATTCGTGCATTTCAACCAATCAGCGGCTAGTTGAAGTCGCGTCCATCTTGATGCAGAAAGGCCATCCACAATTGGCGGGATCGACACCGGTAGCTACGAGAACGACGAGAAACGTGGACACGCGCGTCCACGTTCACGCGGCTGCAATGCATCGACCTGTCGATCGCAAGGAGCCCGCGCCGTCGTCACGCCAGCACCTCGCTTTGCCTCGATGCCATCGACACCTCTTGCCCACCATGCAGCCTCCGACGATCCAACCCGAGCCGACACGGAAGTATACTATCTCGACGTACCCTTGATAAGTGACGCCACGACCACAGCACTGCGCGATGCGGCAGAGTGGGCTCGGTCAAAATGGCGCCCCAAGCGTTACGCCACGCGCCATCACCATGGAGGCTTGCAGTTGTTTCGGCACATGAGTCGGCGCAGCATCTCGATGGCAACGACAGAACGGGCCTACCGCGACCTCCTCACGACGGTCGAGGCGCAAAAGGTGGCGACGAAGAAGGCGTCGGAGGCGCTTCAGGAACAGTCGGCCCTCACAACGCTCGCCACCGAGCTCGACTGGCTCAAGAAACGCAAGGCGCGGGCTCATATGCGCGTCCAGAAGCGCTGCGACCACCTCAAGGTGCTTGGATTCTTCTTCTTTCGTTGGCTGTCATTTTCAACACTGCCGTCGTAGCATCTCCGGCTCTGGTTCGACTCGTACGACGTCGACAAGTCGGGTGGGATCTCGGTGCAGGAGCTCCTTTGGCCGATGCTCGTCCTCGGATTCGCCAACACCCTCGCCGAGGTAGATCCTTTGCTTGCTTCGAGAGCACTCTAGTAGTACAATGGCATCGAGGTCAAGGCGCTCCTCGTCGCCGCCGACAGCGACGGCGACGGCCAAATCGGCTTTGACGATTTTGTCGAGCTCATGAACGCACACGACACCAACGGGAAAGACAGCGTCCACCCACTCGAGAAGCTCGTGCACCTCGTTGAGACGGGCCAGCTCGGGGTACCTCCCTCGCCACTTCTTGATACATTGAAACATTGATACATTTGGTATGAATGTGTTAGGACCGCAGTCTCTCGCTGCAGACTCTCTTGCCCTCGTACCAGCGCCAGCTCATGCTCTCCGCGCTCATGTCGTACGGTGACGTCGCCACGACGCGGGCCGGGATGGCCGCGCGGGAGGCGAACGAGGCCGTGCTCAAACGAGCTACCATTGCCCTTGGCGCGTCCAAAGACCTCGGTAGTCCTCTTCAACGAACGCCGCCGTTGCCGCGCAAGAAGGCGTCGGTGGTCATGCCCAAACTCTCGGTAGCCTCTAAAGCCATTTTATGGACAAAAGAGGTCTAGATTAGGTGCTCAGCCCGGTCGTCGTCCAGCGCCGGCTCGTGTACGAAAGCAAGAAGGAGCGCCGAGCCCATGCGTCGGAAGACAATACGATGCATCTCTTCCTCGGTACGACCCCATCCCCGTCGTCCGTTCTGCTGGCATCTTATGGCATTTGCTAGAAAACATGCTAGCGACCGGACCGTCCGACGCAGGTCGTCGGTCAAGTGCCGACGCCGCGATCCAATCGTCTGCGCGCTGAAAAGTGCATACATCGTTTTCCAGTTCTCATCCCAGTCGTATAGTGCTTGTGCGTACATACATGAGGTTGGGGTTAAATAGCAGCAGAGCCGTCGCCCGGTGCTTGGACGCGGTGGTAGGTGAGGTCGAGTGCCATCAGCGGCGTTTCGGTCCCGCGCAAGCAGCTTTGGCGCTCCTCGGTCGTCATGGTCACAAAGTCGGCGCCACGCGTCACGCTGGAGGACGCCAGACGCCACTGGAACTGCAGCCGCGTTGGCGTCGTCGCGGTCATTTCAACGCGGGCAATGTAGGCCGTCGACGCGTCTTGGAGCGGCCAGGCGTAGAACGTGAGGCAGATCACTCCTGGTGACCGCACGCGACCCGTGTAATCGCCGTGGAGCCACGATGCACTCCACTCGCGCAGCGTGTTGGCGCCATTGGGAAAGACACGAGCAACGTGCAGTCGGTCGTCCAGGATGTACGTCGACCAGATGGTCGAGTGAATCGCGAGGTCCGAGCGCACCTACGCCAGGCAGGTCCAGTCGACGTGTCTCGACACTAGAGGCGCAATTTACGTGCAGGACGTTGTGGACATCGAGGTGCATTTGAAAACAGTACGCCATCGTGACCCATTGGAGCAATGGCAACACGGGGGCGGAAACACCCGGGTGGTGCGGCGGCAAGATCGCGCAGAGCCAGCGCCCGTCAAACGGGGACAATGGCTGGTACAGCGGCCATGCGTCTTGCGGCTGCGCCTTGGCCTACGTGTCGTATCGTTTCGCATGTTCCGAAAGGATAGGGTTAGGGTCAACCATGTAGAGCTCCCGCAGCTGCGCGACGAACGGCTCAAACAAAGACGGGGTGCTATGAAGGTGCGGCGCGACCGACGTGACATCGCGCACGAGCTGCGTATGGGAGTTGTAGCGGGACGAGCGCTGCAGCCACTGGTCGATGTAGGCTGCAAGAAGCGTCTTCCACGCCTGAAACAACGACGTGAGCCGGTCCTTGTCCAAGAGACAGTCGGCGTCGTAGAGACAGGGCGCTTGCAGTTGCTGGACGAGGCTTGGATCAAAGAGTGACGTCGCGACGCCCAAGCACGTGGCTTCCAGCGCCGTCACGGGAACCGATATGCAGTCGACTAGAGTAACACCGTTACAATCCTTTTTGAATGCCGGAGACGACGGTCGTACCAGTCAACGGCAAAATGCGCGCGTATTCGTCACGGTACATCTCGGTTGACGGCACATGGAGACGCGCAACGAGCGGATGTAGCAGCTGCGACTGCACATGGCGGCTCACGAGGGCGCCGCCGACGCCCGGCGGCAGCGTGCTCACAAACGCCAGAATGACACCCAAGGATGCGTCAATGGAAGGGGGAGCAGGTGGCGGCGGCGGCGTTGGTCGGATGGCAAACGCGGGCGACCGCGCCGACGCGACGACTTGCAAGACCGCGTCGTGCCGGACAAAGAGGTACGCCTACGGCCCCCGATGCAGCTGCCCGGAAAAATGGTCTTAAAGGTATGCACCGTCAACGTCGCTGCGGGCCACGCTTGGGACCACGAAAACGACCAGTCTTGCGTCAACGGCACGTATGTACAATGCGCCAGCCCCGTCGCCTGGTCCATTTGTTAGGTGCGATCAACGACGCAAGGGAACAATTTACCTGGTTGAAAATGTACTCTTGGCTCGGCAGCCACGTGCCGGTCGGATGCGCCGTCGACTGCACGTCGTCGACAATGCATGCACAGGGGACTTGGTCGCCGACACGGAGCGCGTTGGGTTCGCTCGCCGCGGGTTCAAACCGAGAAAGACCACGTGCTGGGCGACAGCGTCCGGAGGGATGTTGGCAAGAGCAAACTCGACGGCGAGCGCGCCGCGCGGTGTCTGCGTAGGGCAATTATGCGGAAACGATCTACAAGCTTGCAAGCGTCAGGCTGTGTCCGCACAGCGATAGACGAATATCTACGGGAGGACCTAAGCCAAGGCACATATGAGTCGTCGTGGCCACCGTCGTTGAGAGCGTACGATGGGTCGGGGCGGCAGCGTGAGCGGTAGCCGCCTACACGGTGTCGAACTCCTGGATCCGAACCGTACTAGTGGACTGTACGTGGGGGTGTCGTAGCCGCCTTCAAACGGCGTTGGTCGTGGACAGACGCACGAAGGCATGTAGAATTGCAGCGCGGGCATCGCGTGTGTGTGCAGTGATGTCGTCTCACGAGATAGAGTTAGGACGAACGGTGAAGAGGCGGCGTCGTGGTACCTGCGCGTTCCGAAGCAGAAGGATGTGTGCAATGACCAGTCACGGAGATGACACGCGCGCCTCGCACCATCTGGATCTCCCAAGTTGCACTTGGTCCTGTCATATTCTGGACCCGGGACCTAGAACTTGATTATCAAAAAAATCCAAAAGTACGTGCCAGCGCCGAGTCATCAGGATACGCGGACGCAGACCACCACCACGTCGCTCCTACAGCAGGCACGAGTACAGCTTGCCGTGATGACAGTACTAGTACTGCAGTAGAAGCAAGGGTTCGCGCGTCTCGCTACTCACGCGCCGAGCAGCTAGCGGTCGTTCTTTTCGCCGTCTCTCGGCGCCAATGGAGGTGGCTTACGTCATCGCCGCTGGCCGTTGGACTGCACTTGTCCGCCTTCTCTACCGCATTTGTACGTTTACAAATCGGAATGTGCGAATAACGTCAACGGTCGTCGTCAGAAGTGGGGGCGTGTGGTAATACTCTGCAAACAAGGCGAATCGGCAATCGCACCTGGCGCACGTAGACAGACGCAATATGCATGGGTTGTTTTAGAACGCTCCATTTTGATGCCACCTCGGCGTGGGTTTGACACCCGACGCCGTAGCTCTCGATCGCCCCTTCTCGATGCCCATCGTCTGGCTCGGCGACCATGAGGGGGTCGTGACAGCACCCCTTTTTCGGAAACACGACAGTAGTCAGCCGTCAAATTGCCATTTTCTTTGGTCCGTGACAATGGCATCCATGACACCCTTACCACGCACGGTCTCGGTCCCTCTTGTCGCAGCGGTCGCTGGCGCGTGGTACTGGGCGCATCCGCCGAGCGTGCAGTGGGCCGCCTTCTTTGCCGCCGCGGGCTTCTCGTGCATCGAGTTCTCGTGGTATGCGACGACAACCGAGGCGGCCAACGGCGATCTCGCGTTCACGCCGTTCGCCGCCACGTGCCGCCCGGGGCACACGACGTGGGCGCAGTTCTGGGTAATGTGATCTTCGTACCATGTCTTTGAATCAAGCGCTTGACGCTGGCGTAGGCCAACGTGCTGTATACGCCGCTCCTGCTTTTCACGTACCGTGCGTGGCTGCCGTCGGCCTTTCTGCGCGTCGTCCTCTTCCCGCTCAACATTTGGCTCCTTGAAATCGTCGAGGGCTACGGCCTCATGCTCGTCTTTGGCCGCAACATCGCCTGGACGTACAACACACCGGACGCCTACTTTCACAACAATATCCGCACAGGCTTTGCGGGTCTCTGGCTGCTGCTCGGTCTGGCGCTCGAGGTCGTTGGCTACACGCTCGTGGATGGGCTTGGCGGTGCGGCCGCGCAAGTGTTGCCCATCGAGGTGGCTGTCGCTGGCGCCGGTCTGCTTCAAGCTGCGCGGTATTACCACCGCTAAGATACACCCGCGTCCCACCACGCTAGTCAGAGGTTCGTGATTGAAAAACGATGACTCGACGATCTATTGTACGTACTAAGCGAACGCCGAGTATAATCGTTCGGGTCGTCCTCATATGTCTGCGACGCCCAGATGTCGAGTCGTGTTGCGGTGCCGACGAAGAAATACACCCGCCGGAATCCATGTACAGGGATCATTGGTCAAATGATGCAAACGTCTATTGGCGCAGAGGAGCCTCCCTGATGCGGCTCCTTGGGCACATGCCTGCAGACCTCATTGCCGTCGTTGAAAAGTTTTCAACTATACGAGGAATAAGAATAATCAATTTGGTCCAAGGCAAGGGCCCGGAACAACGAGCAGCGAGGCGAGGATGCTCATGTAACCATGACTCGTCCGTCGTGTACTTTACACTGCAGTCCGACCGTCGTCGTCTCTGGACGCGACCCCGTCGCAGGTCTTGATGGCTGCCACATGGCAAGGGTATATAATATATGTATTATATGCCCTTGCACATGGGGTCAAATCACGTCGGGAGGTTGGGAAGATTCGTCTTCAAGCATCGCATTTTCGAAGCCGGACGCACTGGTTGTTGATTGGTGCGCGCGTCGGTGGTCGGTGGGACGTTTGGTCAAACGCTATGGCCGACGACGGCCATATTGGTCGGAGAGGCGGTTGCTGGGATACTGGGCCACCACCGACTGCTACGTTGTTGTTGAAATGCGTGATTTCCCCTGTATTTTTTCACTGGGATATCGCCTTTCTCCGATGACTATAAATGAAATAGCGTCAACAGCGGCGTCAACAGCAGCATCCTGAGAGACGTTTGCGCAACCACGTCGCGTTCTGATCCCAAGGTCGCTCGACGTTGACGGGTGGGGAGCTAGATAGCAGTCTTTCTAACCGCGTTGGTATTCTAGTATTCGAATATTGTACACTTTTGAGTCTCGTATGTGTACATGTACTATGCTCTTGTGACCAAGGAAGGGGATGGATGTTGAGAAATCGGTGCAGATTCCTCAAATCGGCATCGATCTTTTTGACCAATGCGCAAGCGACGACGATTTTGGCGCGCGCTAATTGGTTAAAAAGTAGCAAATGGGATCGCTTCCACACTTGAAACTCAAATTTTTGGACGAATCACGGACCGCCAATGATGATGATGCTGGCGCTCTACTTCAAGGTGCCACCATCTTCAGCGGGTCGAAGTCGGAATCATTCGCATGGCCATGCTGGCGACGACGTGGCATGCGCTGCCGCGCTGGGTGCACCTCCTTCTGCTTGCCAAGGCGTCGGACGGGACACTGCCGTCGCACCTTGCGACCGTCGTGCGCGTCGCTGTCTATGGCACCACGCCCCGCCGCGATCCGCACGCATCGATTGCGCCGGCGCGGCCGCTCGCCGTCCGACTT